GGGGGTTTTTTTTTTTTTTTTTTTTTTTTTTAGTTCTCTATCCTAGATATTAGGCTTCATTTGAAGAACAGCTGGAAAAATTTCTTTCGTGTTCTGTGGGCTGTCTCTTCACTCGGTGGTTTCGCTTGCTCTGCAAACGCTTTTTAAAGATGGCGTTCCGGTTGATTCTTTCTAATACTTCCTGTGCAGTTGGGGTTTTGTTCATAAAGTCTTTGCCTACCCCTATGTCTTCAAGAATTCTACCTGTTCTGTCTTCCAGCAGATTTAGTGTTTGCCTTAATATTTAGATCTTTGATCCATTTTTGTTTTAGTTTAGTACATGGTGAGAGATAATGGGTCTAGGTTTAATCTCTAGCGTGTAGAAAGCCAGTTTTCCCAGCACCATTTATTAAACAGGCTTTCTTCCAGTGAGGTGTTTCTTTGGCTCTTTTGTCAGAGATGAGGTGGCAAAGTGTGTTGGGAATTGTTCTGCATCTTTTAATCTGTTCCATTGATCCTCAGGTCTGTTTTTATCATGGTAGCTTTATAGTTTTAATTTCAAGTCAGGTACTGTGATTCCTCCTGCCTTGCCTTTGTTGCCCAGAATTGCTTTTGCTATTCTAGGTCTCTGCCATTGGTATTTTGATTGGGATTACATTAAATCTTTATAACATTTTTGGAAGTATGGGCAGTTTTACTACATTGGTTCTGCCTATCCAGGAACAAGAGATAGCTTTTCATTTTCTGATATCCTCTTCAGTCTCCTTTTTCTGAGTACTGTACTTTCAGTGTAAATTTACTTCCTTCATTAGATTGCTTTCTAAGTATTCATTTTTTGAATGGTATTGTGAAAGATGCGGTTTTCCTAGTTTCTCTCTCAGCGAGCTTGTTATTGTGTACAGGAATGCTATACCTCTGTCTCTGCCTTTCCCATCTGTCATATATATATATATATATATATATATATATATATATATATATATATATATACATATATATATGGAAAAATCATCTTTTGTCCCTTTAACTTCCTACGACCGATTAACCCCTTTATCTTTATTTTGCTATTAAGCTACTTAAAAAATAAAAACAGGACTGTAGTTATTGTCATTATTCACGTATTCACTTCATAACGCCTTATCATCTGACCCTCTCCTCTTTTGTGCAAAGCTAGTGGGTTTTTCTCTTTCCTTCATTCTTCATGTGTCCTTGCCGATCCCTACTTCTTGGACTTCCTCCTTGCTCTTGGTGGTGGAGGATCACTTTAATGCTTCTTTTGCCTTCTCTGATGCTTCATGTCATCAGTGTGTCCAAAACGTGAAGCCATTGTCTTCTAGATGTGTTCTTCCAACTTCTCTGTTTGGATTAATGGAAATATTTTTCTCTTTAAAAAGTTCAAATTTTCTGACCTGCCTTTCCTTTAATTCTTTTATTCAGCAAATATTTCTGGATTATCTCATCGCATACAAGATTGTTCAAGGTTTTGTTCTTTGAGCCACAAATAAATGGTCTTCATAGCACTTACAGTTTAGTGGGTAAAATAGTAAGCAGATGTGCCTGGCCGGAACAGTGTTTCTGAGGGCTGAGGTTGAGTCGGCAGTGGTGGGGCAGCACACCTGGCAATAGCTGTGTGAACCGTCTGGGGACGTGTGCAGTCCAGGAGTGATACAGTGTTGGCTTGATGAGAGGGTGGTGCCTGCAGTGGGGTTAGCTGTGGCCCACAGGGCTGGCAGGGGACTCCTTTTGCCTGCGCACAGGGTGAGGTGCGAGGCTGGCTCTGGTTTGAGAGACGCAGACGGGATGAACAGAGGCTTGTTTACTGGGATCTCCGGCAAAGGGTGGTTACCTGAGTGAGGGAGGATGGGTGCTGGGGAATTGATGGTCTTTTCCAGGGTGCTGGGCTTTGAGTCATCTGCTAGACAGCCCAGTGAGATGCCTGCCTTCAGCACTCAGGTTGGGTGTGGCCTGGACCAGGTGGGGTCAGTAGGAGAGGGTGAGTGAGGAGGAGGGCTGCACTGCGGCTGAGAGGAGAGCAGGCCTGGGGAAAGTTGTGAAGAGCAGTGGCTTTGACAGGGCAGTAGGGTGTTCTAGAAACTAAGTGGGGAGAGGAGTCAGCTGTGTTGGATGCTGCTAGGAAATAAAGGTGGCTTACAGCTGGGTAATTGACCTTTGGATTTGGCTGAGTGTTGTACCTGCCTCTCAGCACAGCTGTAAACTTCATAACATACTCTTCTTTTCCTGTGAACAAACACTGTTAATGAGCCTTTTCTCCTTTTTTTGATTGTTTCTTTCTTTTGTAATTGCAATAAAAAGATAAATGCTCATAACTGGGGCTTTAGCTTAGTGGCACTGAAGCACAAGATCCTGAGGTTGAGCCACAGTACCAAAAAAAATACATGCTCATTGTGGAAAACTGGGTAAACAGAGAGAGTGTAAGAAAGTTTAAACTGTGGTATTCTTTTCTTTTTTTTTTTTGGTTTTTGAGACAGGGTCTCACTATATAGTTGACACTGACCTGGAACTCACTATGTAGCCCAAGCTGGTCTTGAACTCACAGCGATCCTCCTGCCTCAGCCTCCTGAGTGCTGGGATGACAGGCATGCGCCACCATGCCTGGCTAAACTGTGGTATTCTTTATCCACTTTACTACCGGAGATAATCACCAATAAAAGTCTTTTGCATTTTTATGCAGCTTTTTAAATATTATTATTTTTATTCTTGGTACTGGGGATCAAACTTGGGACCATGCACTTGTGAGGCAGGCGGCAGCACCACTGAGTTAAATCCCTGGCCCATATGTAGCTTTGTAATGCAGCTTAAGTGCTTTTATATAAAATTGAGGTGAAAAGTAGTTTAACTTTTGCTTTTTAAAATGAACACTGTGGACCTACTTTATCTAATGTCAAAATTTTTTTGAGAATGTTTGTCGGTGCGTGGCCATATAAACATTCCATCACGAAGGAATAGCCTGACCTGACTTGCCATTTATCTTTACCCCAATGTAAATCGGTCCCGGTTAATTTTCCTGGAGTGTGTTGTCCACCAAGCTTTCAATGTAGAGAATAGTGGTTAAAAACATGGCTTGGTGTTTGAGAACAATACTTGCTTATAGCAGGACGTTTGGAAAATAGGGAAAAAAGTATATGCTTGTCTTTTATAGATAAGAGTTACTACTTATGATTAATGGTGTAATTTTCATCTTTTTCTGTCAGTCCTTTTCCCGCCTGTCTGAATGTACAGTACATGAATTTCATTTGTTTGTTTCTAACAAGGATCAGATTGTGTTTTCAGGCCGGCATTTTCCTCACAATCCATTCTTTCCTCTGTTCCTCATAGTTTATCTCGGTCAGATCGTATGAGCAGTCTTCTTGTGATTCTGTTTGTTGTCAAATTGCTCAAGAAGATGGTACCATTTGAAAGTATACTTATAAAGAATTTTGTTCTCTTTAAATTTTAGGATAGACCACTATCTTGTTGAGCTCTTTTTAAATGAAGTTCTACTTGGATACAGAGAAGGGGACTAGATTACTGCTTGAGGTTCATTCTAACCCTAGGATGAAGATAATTAACATTTGTGTAGTACTCTAAAGCCTACAGAGTGAGTTGTCATACTGCATCTCACTTGACTCTCGCAGCCCTGGGAGGTAGGTAGGACAGGTATTGTCATTCTCATTTTAGTGGTAAAGACGACTGAGAGAGAAGTTACATTACTTTATGTTCTGGTGGGGATTTGAATGCAGATCTTCTCTGAGTAGTTCCATGCTTTGTACAAGATTGCATGTATGCACTGGGAGTGAGTTACATGTTTGCTGGTGAAGTGGCATTTGTTCTGTACAGAAACAGACCTAATGACAGTCTGAATACAGCATTCGTATTTCTCTCAGCGTCCGTCTTCCTGTAATCTCCCTCTCCCCAGTGAAATGGCTTTGCCTCTCGATGAGGAGAAAGTAATTTAAGTATGTAGCGGTGTTGCTTCCCCACTGTTTGGGGGAAGGGAGGTTGTGTTCTCATCTACCCTGCCCTCCTGCTTACACTCACCCTTGTACCACGTACCATAAAGCATCTGTGATCTGGGTGGATCGCTGGACTGTGGCAGGAGCCTCGCTCACAAGCTTTTCAGGGGATGGAACTCATGTGTGACTGCAGGGACTACTCCAGGTGGCGCTGCCCACCTGCCACACCCTAAGGAGCAGAAATGGTGATTGACAGTGTGTGTGACAGAGGTCAAATCCCGGATGAGCATCACTGATGTTCCCTTTGATGAGTCACCTCACAAGGGAGGAGTTTGTCCTGCTGAATCGATGTGGGAGTTCGGCAGTGGTAGTGGCAGCACCACACACGTTAGGAGTAGATCTGGATTTTCACGACTGGTATTTTATTAAAACACTCGCTTTGTTTTCTCTACTTCCCCACGGTATTTTAAAATTAATTTTGTATTGCTTTTGTCTTTTTCTAGTTGTTGGTCTTGACGATATTATGGATGAAGGAGTTGTTAAAGAAAGTGGCAATGATACCATTGATGAAGAAGAGTTGATTTTACCTAACAGGAGTTTGAGGGACAAAGTAGAAGAAAACTCAGTGCGATCACCAAGAAAATCACCTCGTTTAATGGCACAAGGTAACCCTGCCAAAGGGGCCCAGCTAGAAAATCGGAGCTCTAGGAACAGATGTGTTAGCTTAGAAACTTTTAAGCAGAGGTCATATATTTTTGATACTTGCTAGTGAGCATTCTGATGATCAAAACAGATTATGTCAGTTTGTTGTACAAGTGTTTCGTACCCACCACCCATTTTCCTGTCCCCAGAGGAAGCCACTGTTAACTCTTTGAGTTAATATTGATGTTTATCTTTGACTGTGTAGGTGACAAGTATATTGCTTCTACTTTTTTTGACTGTACTGGGGATTGAACCCAGGGCCACCTTGCTGAGTTCCCCAGGCTGGCCTCAAATTTGTGATCCTCCTGCCTCAGCCTCCCACGGTGCTAGGACTGCAGGTGTCTGCTCCATTTTTGTTATTCTGATTTTGCATTTATTTCTTTATGTGACACTTTGGATATTCTTTTTTCCTTTTTCTTATCCCTCTCACACAAATGTACACTTCACATCCTTCCAGTACATGGTTTTGTCAGATCAGTAGTAATTACATTAATATGGACTGTGCGGCTAATGACGATTGAGTTAATGACGCTATGGTCACTTTTCCTTTCCCTACAGTATTTTGTCTTTCCGATTTGATTGTTTTTATTTTTCACTTGTGTATTATGGATCTTACTCTGCCAATTGTCTAACTCTTTTTGTAACGAAACGTGTGCCTGTCGGGTACTCTTGTCATTTTCAGTGCATTGAGGCAGCGTCTCCTGGTGCCTGTGACCCTGCCAGGTGACCTGGGCTGAGCCCCTAATGGGTGCACACCTGTGCTGCTCACTGAAGAGTCTGTGCTTGGTTCCCTGCCGTTTGCTCCTCTTTGGATGGCTCCTTCGTTGTGTGACGCCTCTCGCAGTGACTCTTGAGAGAAAGGAGAGTAGAGATGGACCTTGAAACTTTTTCTGTTCGCAGATTTATTGAATCTGTTCTCAGAATGAAGTCATGGTTTGGGTAGACATAAAGTTCAAGACTCAAAATCATTTTTCTTTAGAAATTTGAAGGTGTTGCTCCCTTTTCTTCTAACGTAGGTGTTCATAAGAAGTTTATCCTGGTGTTTTGGAGATACAATATCTGCTTTCTTCTGGAGTTGACAGGACCTAGTTCTGTATTTTGCTATTTCATGGTAATGCATGTTGGTACGAGTGTCTTTTATGTAGTGATAATAGTGTTTAATTAGATCCTTTACTCTGAAAGTTAGTCTTCATTTCTGAGAAAAATTCCTTGAATTATTTATTTCATTGTTAATTCTCTTTATTTTCTCAACTCCTGTTTCTGGGAGTCCTTTTATGTAATTGGTCTTTCCATTTTCTTTGCCTATTCTGTATCTCTTTATCTTTTTCCTTTACTTGCTGAAATTATCTCCTACTTATCCTCAGACCTTTTTATCAAGTTTTGTACTTGTAATTTCCAGACATTCTTTTGTATTGGAAACGGCCCTTTGGTAACAGTGTCTTCTTATTTTACGGATGTAGTATCTTTATCTTTATTGAGATACTAAAGGTATTTCAAAAGTTTTTATTTCCTTGCATAGTTTTGTTGAAAAGGTGGGCTTTCTCTGTGTTTGAGCCGCTGCTCGCCTGGAGCTGGTGGGTAAGGGTGGGCACTGAGACTGCGGCACCCAGCACCCTCCCAGCAGCGCTCAGGGTCCAAGAGACGCGGTCAGTGTGTGCTACCGCTCATGTTCACAGATCTCAGCATCTAGTACTGCACTGTCCTTCAGGGTAGAGAAAGGATTTTTTACAGACGGGAAGCCATTTTTCTACTGTCCTTCATTTTCTCTTAGGAACCCTTTCTAGGTTGAAATCTTACATTGTTTTTCTTTCAGTGATCTGTGTATCTTACTGTGGCATATGCTTTTTTTAGGAATAGCTTCACTGCTAAAAGCTGATGTAAGAAATGCATTAAAAAAGGATTAGAGACCTTTTGAACTTGCATCTTACATATGATAGGTTCAAATTTTATTGGCATTTAAGTTTCTTAAAAATGTAAAAATTTTTATTTTTGCAGTACCAGCAGTTGAAACCATGGTGCTCTGTCATTGAGCTACACCCCCATCTTGTTTTAAATTTAGTTTTTTTGAGGCGGAGTCTTGCTATCTTGTCCAGGTGGGACTTGAACTTGGTGATCCTCCTGCCTCAGCCTCCCAAAGTGCTTGGGATTATTGGTGTCCAACACCACACCCATTTTTTGTTTTCTTTTATAATTTAGAAATATTTAAAATTTAAAAATATGTAATATTCTTTAAGATTAGAAGCTCTTTTTACTAATTTTTGCTGCCAGTGTCTTATGGAAAAGAGACTGAATGAAAACGTACTGTGTCATAAGTTACAATATCATTCTGCATGTCATAGTGTTTTTCCTCCATCAGAACTCAGAGAACTTTGATAAATGTAAAATTAACATATGCATGTTAAATTACATATATTTCATTGTTTGTGATTGTTAGATTGTGTAACAGTACGTTTTTGTTACAATGATGAAATAAATTTTATAGGACAGAAAAAAGAAGAGATATATTTTAAATTTTACTGAAATAAAAACACATGGCAAAATAGCTAAGTTATTTTTATTTTTTTCTCCCTGTAACAGAACAAGTAAGAAGTTTGCGACAAAGCACTATTGCCAAGCGTTCAAATGCTGCACCACTAAGTAGCACCAAAAAAGCATCTGGGAAGACTGTACCTGCCCCAAAGGCAGGGGCGAAACAGCCAGAAAGATGTCAGGTTAAAGAGGACATCCGCACCTCACTGAAGTCCGAGTACCCGAGGGAGAGCAGGAGGAGCAGCCGACACACTGGGCCGGTCGGAGTGGCGCCAGAGGTATTGGCGGCTTCCGGTCCCTCCCCGGTGTCTCGCCTGGAATTGAAGGAAGACACAGGGCTGGCTTCCGGGCCTGAGTGCGGTGATCAGGGAGACTCCCGGGTGCCGTCTCATGAACTGAACTGTCCGCTTCTTGCAGAGACTTGTGTTCCTCTTGGAGCAAAGGAAACTGAAGCTCTGATGGAATGTAAAATTCAGACTGATAGCGGCCCATTGTTTAAGTTCTCGGATAAGGAGGAAGATGATTCCATTTCAGGGAAAATGGATGAGACTGTTGAAGAAAAGAGGGCAAAGGAAGAACTTGATCAGGAATCAAAGGAGATAGTAAAATTATCCCATGAAGATGACCAGATTATGGAGGACCCTGAATCTTCTGTTGGCATTTCTGGTGATATTGCTTGCATGAATGCAAACAGCACAGAAAAGAACCTTGTAGGTTTGTCTAGTTCAGAGGATGGAGTGACCGACTATAGTTTGAAACTGAGTACCATGGATGTTGATAAAGCTGAGAACTCCCCGCAGAGAAATAAAGTGGAGCCGTCGGGTTATTGTGATGACACAGAGTCCAGTGATACCCAGCCACGGAGCACCGAGTTTTCTAAATCAGCGTTAGAGGTGGTTGGTACTAATGCTTTTGAGCCACAAGGTAATATTTTAGAAAATGCTGTTTGTGATGTGTCTGACCAAAATTCAAAACAGTTGAACATTATTGAAAGTATTCAGATGGAGTCTCAGGAGACAGCAAACCTTCAGAATGACAGCAGCAGCCGGTCAAGTAGTGTTTCTGGTGTGGAGTTGAAAAACAAACCCAAACATACAAAACCTGTAACTTACTCTAAACAAAGCGTGAGCACAGATACGCTGAGGAAAATGGTTGTAGCAAAGCATGCAGTAGTGCATAGCAAAACTGATGCCAAAAGTGTGAAACGAAATGCAGATGAACCAGAATCCCAGCAAAATTTTCATAGGCCAGTTAAAGTGAGGAAAAAAATTGATAAGGAGCCAAAGACTCAAAGCTGTAATTCTGGCGTTAGGGCCGTGAAAAACCAGACTCATTCAGTATTCAAGAAAACGTCGCAGGATCAAACTTCAGTGCAAACCTCCAGACCTGTAACTCATTCTCTGAGCGATAAGGTTGCTCACAGTCACCCCAGTCCTGCACACATGGGACACTCACTACATTCCAGCCACAGACAGGGCCATAAGTCTCAGCAGCAGGCACCAGCGGCGAGGGTCCCCAGTCATGGGAAGGAAGAGCCTGAGCACCCCGGCCTTGAGCAGTATAAGGACGAAGATAAGCTGAAACTAAAAAAACCTGAGAAGAACCTGCAACCTCGGCAGAGAAGGAGCAGCAGAAGTTTCTCTTTGGACGAGCCACCATTGTTCATTCCAGACAATATAGCAACTGTAAAAAGAGAAGGTTCAGATCATAGCTCCGTGTTTGAGAGCAGATCCATGTGGGCTCCCAGCAAGCAGTGTGGGTTTTGCAAAAAACCACATGGCAACAGGTGTGTGTGCTGCATATGCGTGATGTGTGCGTGGAGGGGGGTTGGTCTGAGAACTTTGTTATAGAAAGAAATTGGTTAATATGCAAAGACTTTTGCAAAAACCCCACAAATCTTCATCAGCCCTGGATAATGGTAGAAAGATGGAGCTACTGAATTCATAGATGTGACATCCTGTTACATTTTAAAAATGTAGTCTGGTCAACAGCTGATACAATGGAAGTATTTTGTCTCTGTAACCAGATAGTGTGATTTAGTCATTGCATTTGAAAACAAAACTAAAACTTCTTTGCAAATCAGAAAACTGTTATGTTGTCTGGGGACTGCATTTTAATTGGCTGGAGAAGAACTAGCAATACAATGTAAAGATGATAATGGAAATTCTATTTTTCTTTTGAAGGTTTCCTTAAAGATGCACATTAAAGACTTAATACTGTCATCTTGAAACTATCAAACTTGAGCTTGTAACAGAATTTGATAGCTAAAATTAACTGTTTGATAACCCAGAAGAATTTGTATGTAATATGAGGTAGAATGAAACTATATAATACTTTCGAAATGCTTTAGTGATTCCAAGAATTTCCTGCAAATTCAAATCTTTCAAAATTTTAGAGTTGATTTAGCATTGCCTTTGATTATTTTTTAGGATTCCACCCTAAGTCACTCTCTGACATTGCCTTTCCCCTCCCAGTGTTTTTTTTTTTTGCTAGCTTTTTTGAGGAAAGGGGAATGAGATGAAATGGAGCGTGCACCTGTGAGGTTGTCCCGATCAAATGTTCACATTGCTCTTGGAGCCTCTATCAACACTGACATGATGAAAGGAAATCACTTGAACGTTCATGTTGGTGACTTTTTCCAACATTGTTAGATTACAAAAAAATTAAACTTTAGAGGACAACTTAGTATTTTGTAATACGTTATTTTGGTGGTTGGGGGAGTAGTTGGGGAGGACAGGAGGGAGGTATGAGGCTGTTTTCTGAAAAACAAGTTATATGTCACAGGGCCTCTTCATTTATGATTTCGCCCAAGCCCTAGTTTTAACGCTGGGGAGAAGTCACTTTATAACAAAACACAGCTCCTTTTTTAAATGCTGTAACTTGTTGGAATACAGTGCTATTTTTGTGCCAATAACAGATTTGCTAGTTTTTTTTTTTTTCCATTTAGAACACCTTACTCAGATACTGCAAAGTGGGCTTACTGTTTTTATTTATTTTTATTTTTTTGACATTCAACATGCCTACTGGCCATTTATTTATTTATTAAATTTATTTGGGGGGAGCTTACTGTTTTAAGACAGAAGAGAGTTAAGATGCGGATGGTACTGTTAAGTGCCCTTTTAATAAAAGCACCTTTCTGTCTGCTAGAATCTTCTAAGCGTCTCTCTGGAGTGGTCAGAGAAGCGAGAACTCTGGCACACTTGGAAGCTGTATCAACTGTGCTTTCACTAGTATTCTGATGGCCCAGTCCTCTGGAGTTTGCCCCTCACTACGTAGTCTAGGCTGGCCTTGAACTTGGTGTGATCTACCTCAGCCTCCCCAGTGCTGGAATTTCAGGTGTGAGCCACCACACCTGGCCTTGTCCAGACTTTTTAATGATAGGTGTATCATTTCATCAACATTAGTGGTTATTTTATAAAATGACAGTTTCATGTAAAAAAGTCTTTTTATAACCTAGTGCTCCCTTTAGGATCCTCTCTATAAAATCTAGTTTCATTGCTCCAAGTATAGAAAATGCCTTAGAATGTTAGCTGTATAGAGATTTTGGGTTCTCCCTGTGCCATTGATTTGGATAACATAAACTCACACTGAAAACTCAGTTTGGAAGTGGATTTTGAGATTACTTCAGTCTTGTCAATAAAGAAGCCTGAGTGATTGATATTTAACTAGTCTTCACTGCTACTTTATATTGTATTTGTATATGTTGAATTTACTCAAAAAATGCACCTTTCACAGATAATTTTCCTATTTTAATTCACGTAAGAATATGTATTAGCAAAATAAATGGAAAGAATTTTAATCTTATTTCATGCACTTAGTCACATTGAAGGCTGTTAATATAATAAGCATGATAGTTTCTAGCACTTGTGACAGGTTTGCTTCTGTAAAAACTGTTTAAACTCTAGTATCTTCTCGTTTTGCAACTGGGATTAGTTTCCTTATGCATCCAGTTGGAAATTACATTTTGTAATATGGATACTCATGGAACAGCCAGGTGTAATTATTTAACAGCAACTAATGTGTATCCTTTATTCTGACAGATAGTGATTCTTTGCTATGCTGTCCTCCTGATTGTTTGTTTTGGTACTGGGGATCGAACTTGGGACCTTGTTCTCATGAGGCAGTCGGCAGCACCACTGAGCTAAATCCTCAGCCCTATTCTCCTGATTTGATGTTATACCGAACACATTGTTTTATAAACTAGACTGTTTAGTCCTGTGTTTATTTTTCAATATGACTTTTGGACTTTTCAACATAAGTGTTTGGCATTTTGAAAGGAACAAGTCGTAGTCTTTTCATATTATCTACCTTGTGGTTTTTATTTCCCCACTTCTGCAAAAGATACTTGTGTCTTTAATTTGCATTGTACTTTTTTGGACCATGCTGCAGACTGGGAGACATTTTAAACAAATAGAAATCTCAGCAAAATGGCTCCTTTTAGGCAGTTTCTTAAGAAAATGTTCACAAGAGGAATTTTATTTCTAAAATAAATGGTTTTTGCCTTTTCTTAGGATTTCCAGTGTTTTATAAATGATTTTCTCTGCAGATTAAATTGTGAGTAACCAGTCATTTAATGTTGGGTAGAACCCTTGCATCTGGAGTAGTGGGGCAGGCATAGTCTGGTACCTCGGCCTGGGGCTGTTGCAGACCAGGCTTGTGCAGCGCCTGCCTGTCAGGGAGCTTGGGACGTGTGCTGGTTCCAGTGGGGTCTTCGGAGTTGCCTCTCTAAGCCTACTGTGAAGAAACTTGCAAATTTTCTAAGCATTTGTTTGGCTTTTGCAAAACATCATATGGATAAGCCCTTTAAATTGTTTTCTAATTGTTGATCTAGTTTAGTTTTTGTTTTTCATTTGTATGTGAAACTATAATAGGAGTTGACAGCGCAGGCATTGCTGCACTCACTCTTCACTGAACTGCTGAGCACGATTTGGTCCAGTTGGCTGAACCAGAGCTCGGTGTCCCACAGCAGTCAGCTTTACTGTGTAGCTTACAGTGCTTTCCTAAAGGTGATTCCTTGTCTTGGTGATCAGAAATTCAAGGACAGTCAGAAATGATCGGATGATTGTAGGCCAACTCCCCTGCTGCAATTCAGTCTCACTGCTGTCCCTTCCCCATCTCTCGTGTTGTGTAGAGTAGAGTAGTACCGTGGAAAGGAAAGGAAAAGCACACTGTGTGTGAAGCTGTCTTTTTTTTTTAACAGTTGAAAAAGTTCTTGGTGCTTCCCAGTGTTAGACTTATATACATCAGTATTTACATTTTTGTGTAATCAGTTCTATTTTAAAGTGAATTTTATTTTCCTGTAGGATGTGGTCATTGTTATTTTTTCTGATTTCTCAGAAAATTTTATTTAACTGCGTTTTACATTAAACCCAATGTTATCTTAATAGTTTAGAGGTTTGCTTTTCAGGCCTCTCAAGTATGAGTGGTCTTTTCCAGAAGAAAACTGAACAAACCTTGGTGTAATAATTGATACATTTTCTGACCATGAAGGTTAAGTCAAATAAAAGTTTGAAAACACTTTTGTGCTTTGTAATTTTGACATTTAGAATTGGATTTGAGTCAGAAGCATGGTCTAGAAATCCTAACAGTTTGATTGTGGGAGTAGAGGACACCCGCCCCCCCCACCCATTTGCTTTTTCCTTCCCTATCTCAAAGCTATTTATATTAGATGGCTGCTTTCAAGAAATAATTCTTTTAACTTTATAATACCTGAAATAGAACATTAACGATGCTGTATTAGTTAAAACATCTTTCTTGTTGACTAAAATACAAAAACTGAAACAGGAAGCCCACAGAAACTGTTTCTGTCTTAAGAAATACTACATTGAAAGTTCTAAACTTGGCTTGTGAATCCAAACCATTTTCTATTTTTATTTTTTGAACAAATTCATCGTTGGAAAGATGAGGACTTAAATGCTAAAAAAGCCAGCAAAACATCACTAGTGAGGGGTTAAGAATACTTCATTACAGACACTGAAGACCGGAAGAAGCCGTAAAGCAGGGCAGTAGCAGTAGTTTGGCGCACAGAAGAGGGGCCCTGGGGAGGAAGAGGGAAGTGCGTTGCTGAGGCTGACCAGAAACGCCTGAGGGTGGCACCCTGAGAGTTGTGGCTCTAACACTGAAAGCAGGACCTCTGCTGTATTTAGTGAGTTGGCCATGTCATACCACTCTATTACATCCTTTTACATCCTTCCTATTGCACTGCAGTATTTCAAAGACTGGTAGTGCCACAGCCTCGAAAATCAGCACAAAAGCCTTCCATGTATAGAGAACTGGCCTGAAGAGAAAAGAAGATGCTAACCATGAATATATGAAGTAAGCTTGATAGCTTAGTGAGTTATAAGAGAATGGAAAAGAAATTTCTCCTTAAATCACTTTACATAGTGATTTTATTCAGAAATTAACTGTTAAGTTCTCTTACTAAGTTAATAGAAGCTTTTCAGAACCAGTGCTCTCATGCTTTTTCACTTAATGGTTAGGGAGGTTATTTCTTAGTTAAAATGCAGTAAAGGGGAAAACTTGCCGCTCAGTTTAAAACAAATGGACGTAAGATACCGTTCATCCCCAAGAGTGACAAGATTGTTCAGCTGAACCCATGTGACACCACGTGCCTCTGTTGTTTGAGCTTCCCTTAAAGTGTCTAATAAACAGTTTGAGAGGCTCTGACAAGCTTTGGACTTAACTCTTCTTTTTATCATGCGTCATGGACTTGAGAGCAGTGTGCAGTTGTGTCTGATCTCAGACCTCAGCAGTGGGTGTAACGTGATGGCTGGTGCTGAGCCCACTGTGATGTCACCCCCCCCAGTCTCTGTGCCAAAGAGCTGTTCTCTGTCTATTCTTTTCGTGGTGCCCCCCCCCACACACTATTTTTCATTTGTACCAGAGGGGGAAGATTTGTTCCATTTTCTAGAATATTCCTTGAATGTTGCTCTGTGTTGAACTTACGGAATGGGTAAAGATGGAAAGCGTGCAGAATAACAGTCACATTGAAAGTGTGTTTTCATCTCACTTCTGACATTCATCTTTGAAGACTTTTCCTGCGCTCTCTCCCTCCGCAGGTTCATGGTCGGCTGTGGGCGATGTGATGACTGGTTCCACGGAGACTGTGTGGGGCTCAGTCTGTCCCAGGCTCAGCGGATGGGCGAGGAGGACAAGGAGTACGTGTGTGTGCGCTGCTGCGCTGAAGAAGACAGGAAGACCGAAGTTGGGGACACAGACTTCGTTGAAAATCAAGGTGCAGTTGAAGTTCATAGTGAAGATAAGAAAATGGAGGGTGAAAAGCTCGGATTATCGAAGCACGTGACAGCCAACGACAGAACCAAATGTGTAGATGATGCAATGAGGCACAAGGTCAGAATTTTGAAACGGGTAAGCTTTCCATAGTTACGTTCTGTTACTTGGAACTTTGTATGGACCGTGAAAATGTTGACATTTCTCTCGGATTTTAGTGTTGTGTATATTTTTTAATTTAGTTTTTATAAAGATTCGTTAATTTTTATTTAAAATCTGTGTGGCATTCTGAGTGAAACCAGATAGTGACATATTCAGAGCATGAAAGCCTTATTTCCCATTGTGTTTTGTGCCAATTTCAGGCTGTAGTTTGTACTTTATAATTTTCTGAGATAAGGGCTTTGTGTTCGTGTGGCCTTAGGTAAAAGCTGTGCTTGCTAAATGTTTTTAAAAATAGCTTTTCATGTGGCCTGTAGCCCTCAGTCTGGGAGACTGAGGCAGGAAGTTTGCAAGTTGGATCTCAGTCTGGGCAAGGTAGTAACTCAGAGCCTGTCTTAATACGAGATAGTGAAAAAAGGCCTGGGGATTTAGCTCAGGGGGAGGCGTTAGCTTTGACCCTCAGTGCTGCAAACAAACTTTTCAGACTGTCCCTGCCTGTCTACCAGTCCTTTAGCCGTGTGATAGTGTTATTTTTGAGTTGGAAGAATTTTTGTTGTTGTGTTGTTTTTGGTAAGGAAAGTAATTTTTTTATGCTGTTTCTCATATTTTCCTGCAACTCACAATAATTTTTCTCTTAAAATGTGAACTCAGAAAGTTATCAGTTTGGTCTTATTTCCCCCCCCCATTAAGTTTATTGGTATATTTAAAGTAAACAGTACTGTTAGATTTATTATTGGGAACTTGTACGTTTACTTGACAGCTATTGGTTCTTGTTTTTCCACATACCCCTGCCCTGCCTTCACCCCCTTCACACTTCCCTATTGACAATTTTAACTATATTCTGAAATTATTTTTAAAATAGAACGTTCAAGGTGTTGTGGATGTAGCTCATTGGTAGAGGGCTTGTCAGGGTCCTGGGTTTGACCCTCGGCACTCACACACACACGTGCACACACGCACAGAATAAATGTTACGATATTTAGCCTGAAATGGGAGAAGTGTATAAGGGACACCCCATTTTATCTTATTAAATTTTCTTTATTCCTGTTGTGTTCCTTCTTCTTATGTGTGCTTTTTCTAAGATCCTTGATCGAGTCTTGCTGGGGAGGCAATGCAGTGGCAGCACTTGTATGAGCAGAGACAAGGATAAGGGACCAAGAGACAAAAATTTAGAGTTGGGCAGAAGCCATAGATGTTTTAATCAGAAAGTTCCTATTTGTTACTATGCTCTACATTTCTAGGAAGAGCATCTCTAGTTTCCATTTGAAAAGCAGTTTGAGAGAATGTGTTCACTTTAAGTGGATCTGGTTGTTTAGAAGTTTTTCAGTTTGAAGTAAAATTACATCACTGAAAAAGTTAGTTTTTTGACGCCTCCCTGTTAAAGCTCATTTTTCTGCATGACGGGACAGTAGTTCAGATTGAAGAGGTGAGCTTGTTTTCTCCAGAGCCTTCTCCATTGTTTCCAAACTTAATTCTTTCAGGTTGTCCTGTGTGACAAATCAGATTGAGTTTCAAGTTGCCAAGTCCTGGCACATACATTCTGCTTGGCAAGTCTCTTCATGCATCAGATTGTATCTTTCTGATACTTTGTGTTGCTTTGTTGACCTGCTCAGCATCAAAGTAATTGATAATATGGACCTGAGAGCTCTATTAAGAACATTTATGTCAGGTCTTAAGGAAACTTCTGTGTATCATTAACTTTTTTTTTTTTTGGTATCAGGGATTGAACTCAGGCCCTTGTGCTTGTGAGGCAGCTGGAACCACTGAGCTAAAATTAACTCTTAATCATTACCTCCTCTGTATAACTTCTTGGCCATTTAGAAATACATTGTATTATCATGAGTTGTCTTGCCTGAAAAGACATTATAAGACATTAGCATTGTTAATATTGAGAAATTTCCCTATCCAGTATCTATATCCAACAGGGAAGTTAGTGTGATTTTGTAATGCATGTACCTTCCAAGTCATCATTACCCCCTTATAGGGTGAGCTATTGAACCTTTGAATCTTTCTGATGTTACTTTATGAAGAATGCTTTGCCTTTGTCACTTTTTATTCTTTGATTTTTGTATGAAAGTTTCTGTTGTGTGTCGAGCATGGTATAGTCAGACTTGCTATACACCTTGAAGTGTGTATTGTTCACTGAAGGAAGTTTAGTTGGGGAGATAAAGAATATGAAGAAATGATTATGGGATTTCTATTTCAGGGAAAATCAGGTATATGTACTCTGTCTTGAAAGTTACAGTTCTGTGTCTATGCACAATATTCTTCCTCCTGTCTTTTAAGCACATTGGGATGAATTAAATTCTCCCAGGATCTCAGAATTCCAGTTTCACTAGTACAGTGGTACCTCACGCAAACTTGATTCTTTCCTTCCCTGGATGCAAATTGAGTTGGACAAAAACCAAAGGTAATTCAGTGGTTAAGTTCAGTGTTGACCTTACCGGGAAATTTGATTCAGTTCTCGTCCAGTTCAGTTCTCGTCCAGTTCAGTTTTCTCCCAGAATCATGGAGAGAGTTGAGTTTGTGAATTAAGTACCACTGTAATTTTTTGTGGGTTATAAATAGGGCCAGAGTCACAAGTATATTTATTGATTTTTTTTTTTTTTTTGGTACTGAGTATCGAGCTTGGGCCCTTGTGCTTGGTGGCAGAAGCACTAAGCCAAGTCCCCAGCCCTTGATGGTTTATTCTAAATGCAATGGGAATGTCTTTGATATACTTTTTTTTTCCCCTGTGGAGTTGGGAATTGAACTCGGGACCCTTGTGCTTACAAAGCAGGTGGCAGAACCACTGAGCTAAATCCCCAGCCCTTGATGTACTTATGCAAGTGTAACCTCATTTGCTTTAGAAATACATTGAAAAATGTAGATGCTTGTTTCTCCACAAACTTTTTTTTGTGATTCTACAGCCAATTAAGGACTGTTTATTATTGCCTTATATCTAATTTTTCCTAACAGTTTTGGAAACATGACCTGTTACTGTTTTCCCTCCTTTATAAGCTATTGTGTGTTCTGCAGAAAATAGCTGCTTATCAAATTGATTTTTGAGTGAGAATGAATCTTCTTTTTACTAATAAGACCTAATTTTTTATATCTTTTTAAAAAACTTTTAAGTGTTTAATGGGCTAAAATATGTTTGCTTTCTTCATGTGTTGTAATACTACTGATTTGGTTTAGTTGTTTTTAGTTTTTGGAGACAGGATCTTGCTCTGTAATTCAGGCTGGCCTTGAACTCTGCAGTACAGCCTGGCCTCAACTCATGACAATCTTCCTGCCTCTGCCTCTTGCGTGCTGGGGTTACTGGCATGCCACCACTGTGCCTGGCGTTACTACTGATGCTTGTATTTAAAGATTATTTACTAGTTTTTAATGTTAATGAATTATGTACTGTTTTTCCAGGAATCTCCTGAAGGCAGAAATTCATCAGACTGTAGAGATAATGAAATAAAAAAATGGCAACTAGCTCCTCTTCGAAAAACGGGACAACCAGTTTTACCTCGGAGATCCTCGGAAGAAAAGAGTGAAAAAATGCCTAAAGAAGCTACAAACATTATTTGTACAGCTCCAAAACCAGGCAGTGAGATTAATAGAAATTGTTCTGATTTATGTCTCTTGTTTCATGCAGTTAGTGTACAGTAAGTCCCTGATTAAGAAGGAGTTCCATTCCAGGAGAATGTTGGGTTTGTAAATCGAATTTGTAATCTGACAAAGTGAGCCTTCCACAGTACACCTGTGAAAGTTCCCAACTGGAACATTCCTAGTCAGAGACCTGCTGTGTTTTGGGAAACTTTAAAAATTAACATCTTAACGGCAAAGGAGTTTGGATGATTGGTCTTACTGTAATTAAAAAGAATTACTGTGAATTCTGAGGAAGCAGTGGTGAAGTTAAGGCTCCTGCCTTAATAGCACTTGGTATTTCTGGGAGAAGTCAGGACAGGAAGTTGAAAAGCAAGCAGATGGTGTGTCAGTTTAGAGATTGCAAAGAAAGGTGCTGTAGTGGGATAGAGAGCCTCGGTAAGGAAAGAGAGGCAGAAGCTGGTTAGGCCAGGGAGCTGGTAACCGGGGTTTGAAAGGGCGAAGTGTTTGGAGGAGGGAGTGGGTGAGGGGCACATCGGGTGGAAGCCGTGAGGAAGTCAGTGTGAGGGGTTGAGAACGCACCGGAGACCCTGAGACAGGCCCCTGTCTTTGCTCTGATTGCGGTCCTAAGCCAGCACCAGTGGAGAGTCTGAGGCAGGGTTATCGGAAAGGCTGGCGGTAGCAGGCAGCAGGTGCACTGGAGGTGAGAAGAGGTCAGGGACTCTTCAGAGCGGAGTTGACAGAATTGCAGCAGGACTGGGTGTAATAAGTAGATGAGAGAGTCAAAGGTGTCCGGGTAAAATGTTGGTATCATTCAGAGATGAGAAAGAGCAAGATTCAGGGGGGAAACTGGAAAATCTTGGTCATTAAAACTTTGTTAGACATCCACCTTGAGACCATACTCTTAAGTGAAATAAATCCGGCACGTGTGTTTAAATACCGCATTGTTTGTATGTGTGACAAACCGGAAATGGAAATAAGGACCAGAATGCATAATAGGTATTGGGAAATGGGAAGAGGAACAGGGGAGAGGAGAAAGGGAAAGAAAACAAAACAAGGAGAAAAAATAGAATGGAAAGAAAAAATTGAAACAGCTTTTGTCACTAATGAGGGGAGGGCTTGAAGCGGGAATGGGGAAAGAGGAGCAAGTCTCTTCCTGTACAGGTACAGGTTCCCTGTGACCAGTGAGGTCATTGTGGATATCTGCAATGTTCTGATAAACGCTCTGCTTCAGAAAACACCTGTCAGACACCCAGGTACACCTGAGTGGGCCACCTGAGGCTGAGTGGCGCCCCATGTCCTCAGGGCGCAGCCTTGCCCTGAAGGCAGCTGTGGTGCACATTGCCGAGATCCCTCACGCAGAGGCAGGAGCAGAGGCCTTGGCACAGCGGCATTAGCATTTGGGAGAGGAGCATCCTGCAAAGTAGGCTCCACAGTACATGAGGCCCTCGTAGGGAAGAGGAGAGCTGAGGACCATGGTGGCCCAAAGCCAGATGAAGTTTGTCGGGGTATCTGGACATCTAATAAAAAGAATACCCACAGTCGTGTGTGATTTAGTAAAATAGAGGTAATTGCCCAGCGTGGTGGTATGTGCCTATAATCTCAGCACTCAGGAGGCTGAGCCAGGAGGATCGCCAGGAGTTGGAGGCCAGCCTGAGCTACATACATAGTGAGACCCTGTCACCAAATGAACAAGGTCATTAATGACTAGAGTGGCTACAGTGGAGCACTAGGGACAAAAACCAATTGTTGTAGTTTGTAGAAGAATGTAGAGGTAGAGGACTGAAAGTATTACACATAACTCTTTCCAGGAGTTTTGCTGTGTAAGGCAACAGAAATGGTGTGGTAGCTAGGGGAATGCTGTGGCATGTGTGTTTTCTAAGAACCAGTAATTGAGTCATTTTCCAGTGGAAGATCTTGGTTCCTTTTATTAGAAATCAGTTGATTGGGCCGGAGACTTAGCTCAGTGGTACCGCTGCCTGCCTCATAAGTGCAAGGACCCGAGTTCTATCCCCGGGACCCCCCAAAAAATCAGTTGATGGTAAGCTGTATGTGGTGGTACACACTTATAATCTAAGACTTGGGAGCCTGAGGCAAGCAGATCAGCACGAGTTCAAGACCATCCTGAACAGCGTGGCCAAGACTGTCTCAAAAAAAATCCATTAGTTGTACGTACGTATGTGAATTTATTTCTGGATTGTGTGTTCTGTTCCCTTGATGTGTGTGTCTGTTTTGTGCTATCACCATGCAGTTTTGGTTCTGTCTGTTGTATATTTTGATACCTTCAGCTGTGTTCTCTTTGCTCAGTATTGCTTTGGCTCTGTGAGGGTCTTTTGTGATTGCCTGCAGATTTTAGGACTGCTCTTTCCTGTTTCTGTGAATGTCATTGATAGGTTGACAAATATTTCGATGAATCTATGGATTGGGTAGCGTGGACATTTTAACAGTATTCAGTTTGTGAATGTATGGGTTTGTGGGGGGTCTTCCGTTTGTTTCACCAGTGTTCTGTACTTTTTGTCATAGAGATCATTTCCTTCATTTGTTATTTAATTTCTAGATAGCTATTATTTTTCGTAGCCTTTGAGAACAGAATTGCTTTCTTGATTTCTCAGCAGTTACATTTTCATTTTGTAGAAGGTGTTGATTTTTATATATTGATTTTACAGTCTGCAGCCTTGTCATTTTTAAGAGGTTTTCAGTTAAGTCTTGAGGTTTTTAATGTATAAAATCTTGTCAGCTGGCCTCTTCCTTTCCTATTTGGATGGCTTGTCTTGCCCGTTCTGTCCCCCCCCCCACACCTCTGTCTTCCCTTCCCTTCCCTTCCGTTCTGGCTAAAATCAAAAAGTTCTTCATCATCTTTTCCATCTCTGCAGCCTTGTCATTTTTAAGAGGTTTTCAGTTAAGTCTTGAGGTTTTTAATGTATAAAATCTTGTCAGCTGGCCTCTTCCTTTCCTATTTGGATGGCTTGTCTTGCCCGTTCTGCCCCCCCCCCCACACCTCTGTCTTCCCTTCCCTTCCCTTCCGTTCTGGCTAAAATCAAAAAGTTCTTCATCATCTTTTCCATCTAAAAGCTTTTTTTTTTTTTTGAGACTTGGGGTTTTTAGTTGAGGGAGGTGGGGATGTTGTGTGCGGTAAGACAGAAGACCACTGACACAGGCAGGGTCCCCTTGGTGGTGGCGAGGTGTGCTAGCTGACATTTTCTGTTTCTCAGTGAGATGTGAGTGAGCAGATCAAATGAGGTTGGAGGTGGGAAGAAATTGCTCCTTCCTGGTTTGAGAAGAGGAGAAAAAGTGTGAAATTTATGGTTTGATAAATGAGAAAGAATGTTGGGAAATTGTAATAGGGCAGAAGGTTGAGTTACTTCATGTTTATGATTATAAATTTAAAATGAGATCTGTAAGTACCAGTCTTACTATCTCCAGTTGTTTTCAGATGTCTAGCCCATTTGTGTGAAGGATACACGTTGGCTTTTATCAAGGAGTAGTAATAAGTGTTGGGTTATGTGGGTGTGAGTGAGGCCATGAAGATAGTAAATAGGACAGATTTCTGGGCTTGAGGAGTGACAAGTACATAAAAACATGCTTTCTATTTCTCTAATCATCAGACAAGTGCAAACCAAAACTGCAGCGAGATGTCACTTGTTGGGGGAAGGTGGAGGCCTGTCACATTGCTAGTGAGGGTGTGGGGTGTGCATATGGGCGGGGCCGGCATTAGAACAGCCACCCTGGAGCCACTGGGGTGTCAGTGTGCTCCAGTGTCCACACTGCCTTGTGCTCCAGTGTCCTGCCCTAGTTGTGTGTTCCCAGAAAATGCAATTGGTGCACGCCTGTCTTCGTGGTGTCCTTGTTCACATAAGCGGAAGTCCATCAGCTGATGGACGGATAGAGAAAGCGTTGTGTAATCCACAGTCAGGTAGTGTGCTGCGGGAAGAGGGATGGAGTCCTGTCGGCGCTGCAGCGCGGTGGGATCAGATGCATAGTCTCGCCTGTGTTAGCTGGTGCTCCAATATCGGTTAGCAAGGCCGAGGGGCATGCGGTGCAGGGGTAGTTGGGGAACCTGTAGAGTAGGTGCCGAGGCGGTCAGGAGCTCTTGTGCAGGAGGGGTGTAAGTAACGTATATTTCTGAAACCCAGAATAAAGGGTTTTGAATGTTTCCCCTTTAAGCAGTGGCCAGTGTTGGGAAAAGAAGATCCTCTTAACCTGATGTAAATGTCACACGCTGTGTGCATGCACCAAAGTATTGTGTGGTGCCTCACTAATAGTTCAAATGCTTGTTTTTATGTATCAGTTTAACTGAAATTTTTTTAAAATGCCAAAAAAAGAAGAAAGAAAAAGATTTGTGGGAATGAGCGATTGTAGAATAAATGGGCTGTAGTAATAGATCAGAGTAGTGGGCTACCGGACACTGAGACTTTGCAGATTCGTGGGAATTGCGACATTCAGTTTGCTTAACATTCAAATTAATTTCAAACAAAGCTAGAAAAAGAACTTAAAAGTTTTATGATTTTGTAAGGTCATTAAATTATCTGCTCACCTAATAAGTTCGGGTACATTTTCTAAATGACGGTTTAGTGTGCATACAGCTCATCAGTGCACACACGTGGGAAGCAGCTCTGGACAACCATTAAGTAGGGAAGAGGGCGCACCTGGTTTAGGGCTGTAGGGCCACTTTTTAGTCACTGTTCATTCTTGTTAGAATTTCAGTGTCAGGGACATTTCAGCGGACTGGATTCTGATTTCAGTAAGGGCTGTGGATTTTTTCTAAGTAGAGAATCAGTTTTGATTATAAATTATGTCTTTGAAAACAGTATAATGAGTTTTGATATTTGTTCAAATCAGGTGCCCACGAAAAGCAAGAGCTAAAGAAAAGGAAAGCTGAAAAGGGGACGCCTGGTGTGCACCCGGCCGCGGCCCCGGCATCCAAGCCCTCTGCGGACCAGATCAGGCAGAGCGTCAGACACTCCCTCAAGGACATTCTCATGAGAAGGTAATATGTTGTTACTGCGGAGGATTCAGTGACGTGCTTTGTGTGCTGAAAATAATTGAATTGTTCTGATTTTAAGACTTTCAGACTCAAATTTGAAGGTACCAGAGGAAAAGGCAGCAAAAGTTGCCACAAAAATTGAAAAAGAGCTTTTCTCCTTTTTCCGGGACACGGATGCTAAATATAAGAACAAATACAGAAGTTTGATGTTCAATCTGAAAGACCCTAAAAACAATGTGAGTGTGTCTTGCTCGTGTCTGTAGATGTTTATGCTTTCAGCCTTGTGCTCGCCTGGGGGTGCAGAATGTGCGGGTACAGGTGCATGCTTGTGAGTGGGGCCCCACTGCAGACTCTGTCCTCAGGTGGGGTGGCGCCCTGCGAAGCACGCTGGTCACTCAGCTGCGTGCTGGCCTTGAGGGACCGCGGAGGCCAGATCGTGGATTCTTCTAATGATGAGAACTTACGATCGTCTTACCCTGGTTTCTGTCCGTTTTCTTTCTTGACTCCCTTGTACAGTGCAGATAGATGACTTTAAAAATTCATTCATGTATTTTCTTTAGAAACTCCATTAAACTAAAATGTGTTAAAGCGTTGTTACCGCCTTTGATGTAAGCCTAAAAGAGAACTGTACTCTTAATTATATTTAGCTTTTTAAAAAAAATCCTACAATTGGGCCTGGTGGCTTGCATCTGTAATTCCAATTACTTGGGAGGCTGAGGCAGGAGAATTGTTGAAGCCCAGGAAACAATACAGTTTGGGCAAAGAAGAGATACTGAACTACAGGAAGAAAAACAATAAATAAAGCACAATGACCCTCCGAAACGATTTTAAAACTTTTTACTAAAATAGCTTTAGTTCTAACCCTCTTTTAGCAACGGAGTAAACATTAATATTAATCTCTGATTTTTCTAGAGTTAGGAAATCTAGGTAGACTTTTTTTTCCATTACTGGAGATTAAACCTGGGTCTTTTGCACCAAGATATCTTCATCCCTTTTAAAATTTTGAGTTGACCCAGCTGGACTCAGACTCAGAACCCTGGCCTCAGCGTCCTGGGAGCTGTTACACCTGTGAGGAGCACCTTTGTGCAGTGGTGCACGGGACATCGTCAGAATCCCACCACGATTCATCTCTTTGGTGTTACATGTCCTTAGGTTCAGCAGTGATTTTGGCTACAGATGACTCCGTTATAGAGTAGTTAAATGGAACCTCCCTACTTGAAGGTTTCACATGAGTGACGTAAATTTGTGTACGGACACTTCCCACGGTCCAGTCAGTCTTCCCTATACGGCAGGTCAAACATACGTTACAAAATTGCTTCTGCTGAGCACGGGTGGGGCTTTGTCCTCTAATCGTCATTCCCTTAGTGGTGCATTGTAACAGCTGTGTACTAGTACACTGTGTTAAGTGAGTAGTCCTAGCGATGACTTGAACTGCAGTCCTGTGTCCCCTCACAGGAGGGATGCACTCCGGATGATCGTTGTTCAGCAGGATTGCCCTGCAGAAGCATTGCAGAGGGCATTTACACGAACCTGTCACCTCCCCTGGTGATAGAGGTCTGAGGTCACTGACGGAAGGCTCCGTAGCACGTGACTGAGGACTCGCACAGAGACACGTGAACAGGAGACCTGAGCATCTGAGCGAGGGGTCGTGGGACTAAAGCCCTAGGAATACTAAGGGAAGACTGTCTTATCTGAAGTATTTCCTTCAAGTATTTAAGCAGCTACTTGAGAAAACTCCATACCATACCATCTGCTTTCATGCTCCAGGAGGAATTGGTTACTTCTTTTTTGTTTGTTTGCTTTTTGAGACAGTGTCTTGCTGTGTAGTTCAGACTGGTCTTGAACTTACTATGTAGTCCTGGCTGGCCTCAGATTTGCAGTAATCCTCCTGCTTAGCCTCATGAATGCTGGGATTGCAGGTGTGCACCTCCACGCCTGGCTTTAGGTACTTCTTGAATTAGACATCTCAGTAGCTTTTCCTTAGAAAATAAGTATTTATTTCTTTCAGTTGATTCTTTGTTCTAGGTCCAATTCAAGACCGGACTTAAACATGTAAGATCTTAACCGTATGAAAGGATTATACTGAGCAAAGTCTTTGTGTTGTCCCTTCCCACCCTGTAGCTTGGCCATGACGGATGTTTCTGGGTAGACTGTTTACTTATTTACTGACTTAGGCGCTATGGGGGTTGAACCCAGGCCTTTGCAGTGAACTGTAGGACTTGCCCTTTAAAAAAAAACTTGAAAAATTTTGAGACAGGGTCCCACTGAAGTTACTGAGTTGCCCAGGCTGGCACGGATTTGGTACTCTTCTGCCTCAGCCTCCTGGAGTGCTGGCATTGCAGGCATGCGCCACTGTGCCCAGCCCCTGCATAAACGCAGTACAGTTTTGGGATAGGGATAAAGGCTCCATGATACATGCCTCCCCATTTGTTGGTTTTTATATGAAATGTGTGTTTGGTTGCCTTAGGGTTTGAAACCTCTCTTTACTCTCTGTATAGTAGGTAGTATGTAAATCATTAGATATTTGTAAATCAAGCATCAGAATTCTGTCTTCATTTATTACAGATTTATACACAGTAGCTCCTCTTTCATGCTTGTCTCCCCACCCATTTTTTATCATTTCAGATATTATTTAAAAAAGTATTGAAAGGAGAAGTAACCCCTGATCATCTCATAAAAATGAGTCCAGAAGAACTGGCTTCTAAAGAATTAGCTGCTTGGAGACGCAGAGAAAACAGACATGTGAGAAGATCTGCAAATCTGTGTTTGGTTGTCGTGTGTCTTTTAGACATAGGGAGAAAATCACACAGCGATAAGTCACTGCACAGTACCCAGTAATACTTCCTGCTACCACATCACTTGCTCCTCTTCCTTCCCTCACTTGCTTCACCCTCTTTCCTCCGCACTTCTCTCCTTTCCTGCCTCTCCCTCTCCTCTTCCTTCCCCTCCTCTCCCCTCCCCAGTCGGGTGTCTCATTATGTTGCCTTGTCTGTCCCTTAACTCCTAGGCTCAAGTGATTGTCTTGCTTCAGCCTCTCAAGTCGCCGTTAACTTCTGGTTCACTCCAGTGTAGCCGGCTCTCTCTGTTTCTTAACTTCTATTCTTTTGTCTCATCTCTACTATATTTTGCAAATCAGAAGGATAGGAAAATAGGTGAATTTTTTCTTAATCACGTGTAATCTTCATAAACACAGTCTGAAGGTATCATGAATAGTATTTTATAAAACCAGGTAAAGTAAGTCCAAATGAAAATCGGAACAAGTTTATAATAAGTAGCAAAAGCTCTAGAAAAGTTTTTTTCTCTAATTTATTGATAAAACCTAATGAGTTACATATGTAAATGTTCACATTCACAGAAACTCTGCTTGTTTAATCATCTGATGCTGTTTCATATCTAATGGAAACAAAGTTGCATAATACAGTCTGTGCACTGTATTGCACTTATGAAACTTAAAAGAGTTCTGACAGGTGTGGGTGCCGAGAGATTTATTTGGGGATTGTGAATGAGAAGAATCCCTAAAGATAAGTGAATGTGTGACGTAGAGCTGCTGGTAAAGTGAGGGATCACGCAGTATTTTCACTAGGGTAGCCTCAGTGCCCTGTTCGTTGTAGAATGTTATGCGCTCACCTTTCTCCATAGTAACAGCTGCTGAGGCGTCAGATCCCCACGTAGATTCATGTCGTCTTCATACATCCTGTTTATCTGTATATTCCTCACCTTCATCTTGTGTAATTTTGCTCCCTTTACTTTTCAGTAAGCTTACTGCTGCCTTTGTGTTTTAACTGCACAACCAGCGAACAGAACACAGCACGCTCGTGCGTCCTTAGGCTGAGAGTGTCACCTGCATTGCACGGGCGGAGCAGCTCCGCCTCCCTCCTCACTGCTCACTGCCATCCCGGCCGAATGCTGAGCATGTGCAGCTGTGCAGCAGCAGCACTGGGACCGAGCCGGCTGGGGCGCAGACCAGCAGTCGGGAGCTACCCGGTGATGTGAGGTCTCGGAGGAGATCGCTGTCGTGCGGTGTGTCAGAACATAAGTCAGGGTCTGCGAGCAGGATGCTGCTTCTGTCCCTGTGGCTGCTGCTAAAAGCACTGAATCAGCAAGCAGTTTTCTCATATAAGTATCGTGTCTCACTGATTTCCAAATTGCCGCGAATCATGCACCAGCGTCTCACTGCTGAGATCTGGAGCCTGATTCTTAGAACTGGGCCTTTAAAATGGTCTCTGCCATAATTAAACAGGTGCTGTGTGTTTTTCTGTAGGAGAGAACGACCGAACGGTTAAAAATCAAATGTGATAGATGATTTGTGTACTTTTAAGAAAGCTTTTTAATATTTTAAGTGTATATTTGGAGATCCGTATTTCACATTTAATCTTTAAAAACTTTTCTCTTAGACCATAGAGATGATTGAGAAAGAGCAGAGAGAAGTGGAAAGACGACCGATCACAAAAATAACTCACAAAGGCGAGATAGAAATTGAGAGCGACGCCCCGATGAAGGAGCAGGAAGCTGCCATGGAGATGCAGGTGAAGCTTAGATAGATGTGTGGGTCTGTGGCCCAGGACAGGAGGAGCCAGAAACGATTCCTTTGCCTGGGGGTTTTAGAATAGAAAGAGGTTTTTAAGTATCTATTTCAGAGTAGTTTTCTGATTTAGTGGCTTTTCTGAGGTTGATATTGTTGAGTATTGTTTCTTTCAGAGTATGGATTATGTCCAGTATAGAAGCCTGATGAAAACGTCGGGGTAGATTCCTGGGACAGAAATGTAATTCCTTAATGGGCTTAGGAATCTGTAGGTGCTTCCTGTTTACTTTTTTGAGATGAGGTCTCCACTGTGCATTTCAGGCTGATCTTGAACTCATTAGGTGGCCCAAGCTGGCCTGGAACTCACAGTGATCCTCCTGCCTCAGCCTCCCGAGTGCTGAGATTACAGGTGTGGACCGTCACCACACCCAGCTGCAGGTGCTACTTAAGAGACTACACAGGGTTCTGCAACCCCAGGCCTAGAAGCCATGCTGGGTGTGGCCTGGTAGGAGCTGGACTGCACAGTGGGGGGGTTCCAGGGAAGCTTTCTCTTGCCTAGCACCTGAGCGCAGCTGCTGCTTGCAGGCTGTCAGAGGAGTGGAGCAGGGCACTAGATTCTCATGGGAGGGAGGAACCTGCCAGACTGGTTTGAGGCATTTTCAGAGTGTGTGGTCCCCAGACCTATCCACCCCACCTGCGGCCTCGCCTCCACACGGCACTGAAGTTTGAGAGCTGGTGCAGCAAGGGGGTGATTGAAAATCTTACTGAAAACTTTCAAGAATGAGAAATTGTGGTTTCTTTTGCTCTGTTTTGAGTGATAATAGCTTTTAAAAATCAATAATTGAAAAGCAACCTACGAATACAATAATTACATCTTGGGAAAACATCAGTGCGAAATATAAATTGAGTTTTGTGACTGAAGCCAAACTATCATCCAGAGCTGACTTACTCTGACCTTCTGTTAGGAGGCTGCCGCCAGTAAGTCACTGGAGAAGCCAGAGGGGCCGGAGAAGCAGAGAGAGGAGGGTGGTTCTGTGTCGGCGGACACCACGAGTCAGCACCGGCAGCACCTGTTCGATCTCAACTGCAAAATCTGCATAGGTGAGGAGGAGTTTCTTTCCCTAAAAGTTGCATTCCTGGTTAAAGAGCAAGCGCTTCCACGCCGAGGTGTGTAATGAAGCCGTCTGCTCCTCTGCTTTTAGCACTCATTGACTTTGAGCCATGGCGCAGTTTTTGTGTGACTTTCTTTTTCCGTGCTGAGGTGTATTTTGATGCAGTAGTGTAGTTTAATATCGAGAAGTAACTGTAACTGTATTATATGTGATCTTCACCTCCCAGCTCTTGCCAGGGTCAGATCATTTAAGGATCTTCAGCATCTTTCCTTGACTTCTTAGCTCATTTCATTTTTTTGGTACCTGGAATCGAACTCAGGATCTTGTGAGGCAGGTGCGGTGCCGCTGAGCTCCATCCCCAGCCCTGGCTTCTTTGTAGTACTGAGTAGCTAGCTCTCCACTGTTGGTGCATACCAGTTTGTTTTATCTGTTCGTTTACTAAGGAACATAGTCGTCACTGGTCACGAGTAAAACTGCGATAGACAGGCCGTTTCTTCTGTGGATGGCATCGGTTTCACCTCCTCGGGGTAGACACCAGGGAACTCACCTGTAGGCTCCTGTTACTGTGTTTATTTGTGTGAGAAACTGGTGTGGAGTCTTCCGCAGTGGCTGTGCCATTCTGCATCCCTCCCGGCGTCGGTGAGTGAGTCTTCCTTGTGGTCCACATCCTCCCTGGCGTTTGTGGATCCGGGTGTAGGATTGGGGACTTGGGCAGCGCCCTCGCGACTCGCCGGTGCCAAAGCCAGGACCTCTGTGCGGCCCGCTCGCTTGCCACTGTCCGGTGAGGTGTCTGTTAGACCGCGGCCTGCTCTCTGAGTGGGTTGGTGATTTTCCTGTTTCAGAGTTTTAGGAGTTCAGATGTGTCTCTCGCAGTATTTTTGCCCATGTCGTTCTCTTGTCACTATTGTCTGTGGGGATCGCGCTGGGGGCGTCTGCTCTGTCCGGCTCGAGTACTCCGCTCCTGGGCGTCTCCATGAGTTCTGTAGCGTGCATTTCACGGTTAGGGCTCTGACTCACCTGGAGTTGATTTTTGTGAAGAGTGGAAGGTGCATGTCCAGATGATTCTTCGGTGTTGTTTTTCTTTTGCTTGTGTATGTCTAGTTGATTCAGCATCTTTTGTTGAAAAGACTTGGCTGCAGTGTTTGGTCTTGCTTCTTTGTTGGAGATCAAGTTCAGTTGATTACATGTGATGTCGGCACTCTGTTCTGCTCCATTTACCTGTTTGCCCTAATGTTTTGATTGCTGTAAGGCTTGAGGCTGGGTAGCCTCAGTTCTTTGACTTTGTTCTTCAATATTGTGTTGTTTACTCTGGTCTTCTGCTCAGAAATTACCTTTTGGGGTGTATTCTTAGGTCGATTATTCATTCAGAAAACATCTGGTGAGCTCTTCTCGGCGGGTGGTTGGCCTAGTGCAAGGACTGCATTGGTCAAAAGGTCTGGTGCTTTCTCGGCCTTCCAGGGGGATGACAGCCAGATGCCCATCACTGAGCAGCACGTGTGTGTGTGTGTGCATGTGCGTGTGTGCGTGCGATGGGGAGACATTGCCGGGTGTGTGTGTGTGTGTGTGTGTGTGTGTGTGTGTGTGTGTGTGTGTGTGTGTGAAGCTTGCCTGAACGGTGAGCATGGAAGCTGAGAGGGGCAAGCGCATTGTAGATCCCGGGAATGTGCTGTGAGCTTGAGTTGACTCCCGGAAAGGGGAGAGCGCACGGACTGTTTGAAGATACGTAGATCACATTTGCCAGGGTGTCATAGCCATTGCTTTTTAAACTTCAGATTGTGACTCAGTTCCAGCACCGAAGGCAGTGTAGTGAGTAGTGACCCACACTGCAAAACAAAACTGCCTTAATGTGTGAGTAGCTCTGTGCTGTGTGTGTAGCCATAAACTCTGCTACATACAGCACCACGCAGGGTCCGGATTTGTGTATGTTGCTCTATAAATGCTTCTTAGTACTGTTGGATTTTGGTGTACTTCAGGTAAGAATCGGAATCAAGAAACCTATTTTATGTTCTTGAGTAACCTTTTCATTGTAGTTTGTCTAAGTTGCCAAACACCTATTTCCTAATTTTTCATGTCTGCGAGAAAGGAATTACACTGAGCCCATTTGCTCACAGGCTTTATATTTAGAAGGTGATGTTTGTAAAACCCTTTGAAAGAGACATTGAGGGAGAGGCGGGGGCCCTGCCGTGAGGGGCTGGCTGCTGGTCCTCACTTACTGTGAGAAGTGACGGCTGGGTGGGGAGCTTGGCGCCACCCCAGAAGTGGTTGCCCGGTAACTGACCTAGTGTACACTGCGGAGCTTCGAGCAGGGAAGATGGACAAAGGTATAAAAATCACTGCTAACAGCGGTCGTGTGTCCTGGTCTCTTCTGGCTCCAGGTCGAATGGCGCCACCTGTCGACGATCTTTCTCCAAAAAAGGTCAAAGTTGTCGTCGGAGTGGCTCGCAGACATTCAGACAATGAAGCAGAAAGTCTAGCGGATGCACTGTCTTCCACCTCAAATATTCTGGCTTCTGAGTTCTTTGAAGAAGAGAAACAAGAGTCTCCAAAATCAACATTCTCTCCTGCTCCACGGTACTTGGCTCTCAGTTATAAGTTTTACAGTAATTGTAGGTTTTTACTCAATTATACCTGGATGTCTTGGAATAAAATGAAGTGCTATTTCTTAATGACTTTTCTTTTGAGAAAGTTACTGTGTTTTGCCATACTTGAAATTAGTGGAAAGAAAGGCGTCAGAGTGAAAGTTGATTGTGACTGGCGAGTGTGGGATGTGCATGTGGCCCTTGCCCTGTCTGTCTGGCTGTCCCAAGAGGCAGGAGCAGGTGTTACAGAAAAATGGCCTGCGTGTCTCTGGCCCCAGGTCTGTGCAAGGCAGCCAGAGGACAACTTTAAATTTGACCTTCACTGACCACGAAGTAGAAATAGACCTCGCATCGACCTTTTGGCTGCTAACTTTCTAATCTCATTTCCTAGCCCAGAGATGCCGGGGACTGTTGAAGTTGAGTCTACCTTCCTGGCTCGATTGAACTTCATCTGGAAAGGTTTTATCAACATGCCTTCGGTGGCCAAATTCGTTACCAAAGCCTACCCAGTGTCCGGCTCCCCCGAATACTTGACAGAGGTACTGTGAGCTCTTCTGCCCTTTTGTCCCTGGCGAGGCATGTGATTTCAGAAAGCTGTAGGCAGGGAAAAAGCTGTAGTAGAAATAAAAAATATTTACTAATAGTGATCCTTGAACAGCTTAATCAATTCTACAATTGTTTCATACATTTGAGGAAAGCTCTACTCTGAAAATTTTAAACCTGTGTGTCAGAGAATTAAAAGGCAGTGAGCGTTCAGCATGGGCGTCCAAGCTTGTCTTTGAGTGTGGTCTTACATAAAAGATTGATTTAACTGTGGCCTGTCAGGGAGACTTCTCATTGTTAAATGAATTTTTAATTTCCCTATATGCTGTTTCTCCACCTTTGTGACTACAGCTCTGCTCACCTGTTTCTGTTTCTGTGAGCGTGGTCTAGACTGGGCACTGAGGTTTTACTTCATGGTGACGGCCCCACAAGACTACTTGCTGCACTGATAGCCTTGGTTGACTTTCCTCTTGTGGGAAAAGGAAGAATCTATTACATAGAGTTTAAGAAAAATAGCAGTACCATCATATTTTAATTGTCATGACAGAATACAACGTTTTTAAACAGATTTGAAGGCAAATTTTTTTGTGCATCTTAACAAAAGGAAAACAGAACAAATGTATTTTATTTATGTTGAGATTATATTTGCTTTTTTTTTTGCAGTACCAGGGATTGAACTCAGTGCCTAGTGCTTGGCGCAGCAGCCGTGGTGCCCCTGAGCTAAATTCCTAGCCCTCTATATTTGTATCTTTTTTTTTTTTTTTTTTTTTTTTTTTTTTAGGC